GGGGCAACACTACGGATTTTAGGTCACCAGCTCGCACGGGAGCCTTTGAAGGCTCGACTGGTAGGGGCGTCCATGAATTCTGTTGGCCGCCTACTCCCGTGGAAGCCACGAAGAGCTCACCTTTGTAGAGGGTACCTCGCGAAGAAGACTGATGAGGCTTTATCCGAGTTGAAATAAAGTTGGTAGAGCTACTTAGTCTGTTGGCCATCAACTTCCTGCATAGTCTTTGAGTTCCTAAAACATGCAAACTACAAAGTGAGAGATTTTAATTTCTAAAAGGTGAGAACTTAGCTTTCTGGAAGAGGAGGACTTAGCCTTTCGAAGGATGAGAACTTAGCTTTTTGTAGCGTTTCCCACAGACGACGTCAATTAATGCTGCACGATCTAGCTGCTTTATGTTGGAGGTGATCTAGCTTCCAGGCAGACGGCGAACTATTGATTTGCAAGAGGATCAGAGAACCCGGGGTTGCTAACCCGGTGAGGTCACTCCGATGCTTAAGTCAATACTCTCATAATAGACTGCGAGCTAAAAATCACAAAGCATGAGAGCTAGAATATGCTTACTTGCCCCCTTCGCTCCATTGGGATTGGTGACTTTATATAGGCATTGTCTGGCGTGGGCTTCACGCACCATATTTGAGATTTCTGAGAAGTCGTCTAAGTGGTCCGAGATTCCTTGAGGTAACCGCCATGCACGTTGACCACCCTCCGGATCATTCAGCACGTGGGCCAACTTCCAAAGATCGTGGGATTGTTTGGATATGCAGGTCGAATTTGTCACCGAGCACGTCTTGCAGGCCGCTAGGTCGTGCTAGGGTCAAGCCGCCAGGTTGCACTAGGGCCAGGCCGCCAGGTCATGCCTGTGCTAGGCTGCCAATTTGCGCCAGGGCTAGGCTGCCAGCTCGCGCCAAGGCCAGGCCGCCAGGTTGCGCCTGTGCCAGGCTGCCAATTTGCGCCTAGGCCAAGTCACGCCTATGCTAGGCTGCCAGTTTGCGCTTGGGCCAAATCGCGCTAGGGCCAGGCCGCTAGGTTGCGCCTGTGTCAGGCCGCCAGGTGGGACACCATCAACTTGGCTAAGACAAGTTGTTGTTAAAGTGATTCCGGATATCACCTAATTATTCCAAGGTGCCATGTATCACAATATCATTGGAGGGCCAAATCCGCCCTCATCACCAATCTTCGATGTGATCAATGAATTATTATAATGTCAATGTAATTTCGAGCCCCGCTATTGGTTACATCATTTTGAGAATTATTAAATAGTTGTTGAAAAAGTACTATGCCAACGAAAATGATTTGTGGTCGTGTGGGGACACTATCGAAAATGATTTATAGTCGTGTGGGGAGACTACGAAAATGATTTATGGTCCTGTGGGGACACAAGGCGAGTGTTAATCGGTTGAACTTTTCAACATTGAATACGCTAGTCAGAAGGAACAAATTACAGCTCACATTGTTTAATGTATTTTGTTTGGTATGTTAAAAGTTGTTTTTTTTTTTTTAAATTTCACTCACACATAACAACCTCTCGTATCTGGATTTTAATGGATTACCAAATCATTATTCATATCGGTATTTAAGTGAAAATAAAGGGAAGTCTTTTATTCTAATATAAGTGTCTTTTAGTAAGTCTTTTTAGAAAGATCTTCTAGCAGTTTAGATGGCCAAAAGACGACGAATTTTTGGGGTTTTGTTTGTTAAGACAAAGATTGTTTGGTAAACAATTTGATCTATTGGGCTTTTAAGACACATTTAGAGGTTATATATCATATAGAAAGACAAAAAGTATTCATTTGAAGCTTCCTGAAATTCGGTATTTTCAGTCTATTCGGGTCTTATTGTGCATGCATTTTTTCATCTTTCTGGATTTTGGTTACCAAATGGAAGAGACTAATTAATTTTTTGGTCTTTTGAACTTGCTGAAGCCCAAAAGGACTTGCCAAACACCGTCTGATTTTCAGATTGACAATGGGGGTAGCATTCACAACCCTATTTGGTTGCATCCAAGATTTAAAGTATCCACGTGATGGATTGAAGGTGATGACCATTGAATGCTTAATGGTGAAGATGGACCCCTTGTGGAGATGCAGACGGACAATTAGAGAATGCAAGAAGCTAAATGGACATTATCCATTCCCATATTAGAGATAAGGAAATTAAGTTGTGGATTCGTTAGGGTAGTTTGGCAAGCTTTTTTTGGGAATTTCTTTTGGTAGCTTTGATAATCAAAAGATGCATTGAGTTTTTGCATGAAGATTTAAGCAATGTAAAGCTAATTTGGTAGATACATGTATTTCCATGCATCTTTCTATGTCTTTCTGTATGAGAATAAAATGCAAAAGACATGAAAAACTTCATTTGGAGCTTCCCAAAATCAGCCTAAAATGGGTTTATCGCGTCTTTTTGGTGTTTCTGCTTTTGGCTGCTAAATCTTCCACGAACCATACAGGAATAGACCGAAAATCAATCTGCCCCCAACTTGTAAACAACCGAAAGACCAAACGGAAAGACACATTAAGCATGGCCTTAACATGGGCTATAAGTATCTTGTCAAGGGATTATCCTTGGGGCCTGTATTATATTTGTATCATGGACCATTGGGGGAGGGGAGAGGAGATCATCCTCATTAAGCTAGTTATTTGTTGTCTTTTTTAGTAACATAGCCGATCCAAAAAAAGCATCCATAGTTCCATACAGTTTTTACTTTATTACTTTTTATGTTGGCACCAATTGCTGACAAATACTTTATAAGTAATAATTATTATTTAGGGTAAAATGTTGAAATCTCTTGAAGTTTTGGCGTTGCTGAAGCCTCCCTTGAAGTCTGATCATTGCAATAACTTCCTCTCAACTTTTTGACAGTTGCAAGTAGGCCCCCTCTGATAGAATCTTCTAAAATAGAGGTATGAAAATGTCTAAAATACTCATACAGTTAATGTTTATTTTCCAAATTTCACTTCATATGAATCACTACCCCAAACCCTTCCAATCTCTTTTCTACAATTGATTTATTTTTCAAATTTTCCCTTTATATCAATCACTCAAATGTAAAGCTGTAACTTTAAATTCTCTCAGCAATAACTGTATGGGTAGTTTAGACATTATCATGTCTTTTTATAAGATTCCACCAGAGGGGTCTACTTGCAACTGTATTAGAAAGTTCAAAGGAGGTGATTGCAACCATCAAACTTTAGGTATGGTTTCAGCAACAACCAAAAACTTCAGGGGAATGTTTCAATAATTTGGGAGAATGACGGATAACCCCAGTGTCAGCATTTGTAGGTTCAAAATACATTTTGGGTAGGTGCCAACTCGGTATTGATGCAAATTTATGGGCGGACATGGATGTATAAGGTATGCCTTTTGACGTTTTGAATGTTTATAGCTGTGCAGTGGAAGATACTTCTCCGAAAAGTCAATGGGTATATAGTTTTACTATATACCACAAAACTTGAGGGAAATGTTCCCTTTTTTATCTATTTACCACAAATATGTATCTATGCTCATGCTTCTCTATTTAAAGGATGCTGAGATGACCCTCTCCATAACCCAAACCGGCTGTTATGGCATTTCAAAGCTTCCCCCTGCTCGGCCTGCTTATCCTTGTCGACTTGCTGGGTCGATCTGGGGGTACTACACTGAGTAATGATTCCTCAACTTCACTAAACCGATACAGTTTTCTAGGAAGATCTTTTGGTAGCTTTGATAGTCAAAAGACGCATTGAATTTTTGTATGAAGATTTGAGCAACTCAAAGCTACATTGATAAATACACGTATTTCCGTGTCTTTCTGCATGAGAATATAACACAAAAGACACGAAAAACTTCATTTGGAGCTTCACAAAATCAGCCCAAAATGGGCTTCTCGCGTCTTTTTGGTGTTTCTACTTTTGGCGACTAGATCTTCCATGAACCATACTGGAATAGACAAAAAATCGATCTACCCCCAACTTGTAAACAACCGAAAAACCACACAGAAAGACACACTAAACAGGACCTTAACATGGGTTATAGGTATCTTGTCAAGGGATTATCCTTGGGACCTGTATTATATTTGTATCAAGGGTCCATTGGAGGAGGGGAGAGGAGGTCATCCTCATTAAGTTAGTTATTGTTGTCTTTTTTAGTAACATAGCCGATCCAAAATAGGCATCCATAGTTCCATACGGTTTTTACTTTATTACATTTTATGTTGAAACCAATTGCAGACAAATACTTTATAAGTAATAATTATTATTTGGGATAAATTGTTGAAATCTCCTATGTAGTTTTTGGCGTTGCTGAAGCCTCCCTTGATGTATGATAATTGCAATTACTTCCCCGCAACTTTTTGATAATTGCAAGTAGGCCCCCTCTGATAGAATCTTCTAAAATATAGGCATGAAAATGTCTAAAATACCCATAATGTTTATTTTTCAAATTTTTCTTCATATAAATCACTACCCTAAACCCTTCCAATCTCTTTTCTACAATTGATTTATTTTTCAAATTTGCCCTTTATATCAATCACTCAAATGTAAAGGTGCAACTTTAAATTCTCTCAGCAGTAACTGTATGGGTAGTTTAGACATTATCATGTCTTTTTATAGGATTCCACGAGAGGGGGTATACTTGCAACTGTATTAGAAAGTTCAAGGGAGGTGATTGCAACTATCAAACTTTAGGTATGGTTTCATCAACAGCCAAAAGCTTTAGGGGAATGTTTCAACAATTTGGGAGAATGACCGATAGCCCCAGTGTCAGAATCTATTGGTTCAAAATACATTTGGAGTAGGTGCCAGCTTGTATCTTTCGACATTTCGAATGTTTATAGCAATGCAGTGGGAATCAGAAATCTACATTGGGTGTATCCATACTTCTCCGAAAAATCAAAGGGTATATAGTTTTAGTATGTACCACAAAAGTTGAGGGAAATGTTCCATTTTTTTACCTATGTACCACAAATATCTATCTATGCTCATGCTTCTCTATTTAAAGGATGCTGAGATGACTCTCTCCATAACCCAAACCGGCTGTTATGGCATTTCAAAGCTTCCCCCTGCTCGGCCTGCTTATCCTTGTCGACTTGCTGGGTCGATCTGGGGGTGCTGCACTGAGTAATGATTCCTCAACTTCACTAAACCGATACAGTTTTCCAGCAGGCTTTGTTTTTGGGGCGGCATCAGCTTCTTATCAGGTATTTCAGCAAGAAACCTTCTTAAGTTAATTTGTAGAAGTTGCTACGATATATATATCTGGCAGCCTGCGTTTGACCCTTGTGCATGGTTTCTTAGTTTGAAGGTGCAGCTAAACAAGGTGGTAAAGGCCCCAGTATATGGGATACTTTCACTCACAAATATCCAGGTCTCTCTCTCTCTCTGGGTTTTTTGGAGATGACAATGGTTCTTTGTTTCATCTTTTTCCTTTCATTCAAAAGTTCATGTAAATCTATATTGTTTCTTTCATTGTAACATGAGTCTCCTGAGTTAAATTATTTAATTCTTTCAAGTGTTACATTAATTAACAAATTAGAATTCATCAACATGGAGAGAGTTGGTTTTGATTGATTAGACTCCGAAGAGTACGATTGGGTGATTATCGTATCCGGAGATCTCACTTTTAAATTGACAAATCAAAACCACCACTATGAATTTTGATGAATTCTCTTTGGTTAATGTACAATTTATTAAAAGCCTTAAGTGTAAGGAGATCAGAACCCAGATTTCGTATTCACTTTTTCTCCCATAATTCGATACTATGGTTAGAGAGTAGTGGGTAGGAAATTCGGTCTAGACTAAGTTTGATAATGCTTAGTCCACCGATTAAGGGTATATCACCAGCCTAAGTTGATATGTGACGAGTGGGTGGCTCCTGTAAAACGGGCCGGGCTGGCATGGCATGATCAGTGTGGATGGCCCATATAAAATGCGGGTCATGTTGTATTGGCCTAGAGGTGATGCAGGGTCGTGTTATCTTCCCCTAAGATAATTTAGAAGTTAATGCTTAAGTTTATACGGGCCTGTGCCGTGCCGTAGGCCAAGATAGCTCGTGGGCTATGAAAACCAGGCTAATTTAAAGAAAAAATTATTTATAATTGATAATCATATTGTGGTATGTTATGCAGGCAAAATAGCAGACCGAAGTAATGGAGACGTAGCCATTGATTTTTATCATCGTTACAAGGTACATATTACACTGATTTCACTTCTTTTGGTTTTATATTTTAATGGGCTTTTGTTGCATTCATGGTTCAAAGTATCGGGCGTATTATATTATATTTTTTGAAAAAGTTATGGTTTAAAAGGTATCTTTGTTTAATTTTTTTAATAATAAAAAACATCTTATAAACTTTCAAAAAATTAAATTTTGACAAAAAAAATTAAAAAAATGTATATATCAACCATTTCTAAACACATACGATAAGGCCAAAATGCATATTGTATATGGATGAACTTCCTTTAATAACTTTTTCACAAAAATACTTAACAACTTCCATCAATTTCCACTCTAATTTGCCATCAAATCAAACATAGCTAATACAATTACCTTCTTGTGTGGGCGTGTGTTGGGAATCGGGACTGCATGATTTCAAAGAGACATGAAATAATTTAAGCAATGGGCCCTGTGGGCCCTTAAACATTTAAGAAATGCTTAACTCGAACTTTGAGCCCGCCCTGCCCAAAGTGGATGCCACTTAATAATTGGATGAAAAAGGATAAAAGCATAAATGCAAGAAAGTCCACGGAGTGGGGCACTGGTTCCCAGTTTGTTAGGTGAGATGTTATTAGGTGGACAAATTCAGATGATCTAACAGTCTTTGGCTTAACCGACAACTAAGTTGTCATGTGCAGGTGTAAAAATATCTTTCCATTAACCAGCACATCTTATCAACAAACTTGTCTATCATACGCATTTGCTGCTGTAACTAGCAGGAGATATTATCAATCAGTCAATTGACACCTTGTCATCATAGTATAACCCAATTTTACCTTTTGTCCTTCTTCTTCTTCACCATCCCTCTCCCCTCTCCCTGTTTCTTCGTCGCCATTACCACCACTGTTATCGTGTGTAAATTATCGGCAGAAGCTCATCTGAGCTCAGTTTCCCTTTGAGTCCAAATTTATTCTAAGTAAAAATACATCGATGGGAACCTCTCTCTAGTCCTTCGTCGATCTCGGTCCCACTCAATAAGTTGACGTGAAGATGCCTCTGCAGAGTTATTGCGCATTGGATGGCAGCGGTGAAGAATAAGGGATATGCGTAGAGAGAGAGGTAAAGAGAATTAACAAAAGAACGAAAGAGAAAGATTGGAAGCAAGCAAAAAAATGCCACCGCTGCTTGAAGTTGCAGCGGCGATGTCGTTGACACGAAAATAGACATGTTGGATTTAATGTTTGTTTGATCAATTACATAAGTAATTGCACCAGTATACTTGGTCGAAAAATCAATATTTTCTCTTACAAAAACTCAGTTTTGTATTTGTCCCACATTGGGATAGGAGCTGATTTATACTCCTGAGAGTATGGGGATTTGATATCATGCAACGCGTGTACGCATGTGTGCGGCGTAATGAGGCACTTTAGAGGCGCATTTTGCTCGCACTTTGCATGATTCGCGATGAACAGTTCTAGTTTTGGTGCGTTGATGATCGTTGATGAGATCAATGGTCACAATTCGGTCAAGTGTGATCAAGAAGCACAATTCAAAGTTAATAGTCACCAACTGTTAACTATTTTTTAAACCTTCAAATCACACAATTTTCGAAATTCACTCTCTCTCTCTCCGATCTACTACAATCTCACATAAGGTTTCTTTGGAGACTTTTCAACTTTGTTGGTTGCAAATTCTCGCCCAAAGGTCTATTGTGTCCTGAGAACGAATTTACCTATAACCCAACAACAAACTCAATAAAACTAAGTGAAGACAAATAAGATAAAGAAGACTTTTCCTCCAAAGTTACAATGACCCTATTTTCCCCAAGACATGGGTGGGATAAAAAAAAGAGAAAGAGAGAGAGATTGGAAGCAAGCAAAAAAAGCCACCGCCGCTTGAAGAGAGAGATCGGAAGCAAGCAAAAAAAAGCCACCGCCACTTGAAGTTGCAGAGGCGATGCCGTTGACATGAAAAGAGACGGGTGGGATAAAGATGGAGAGAGAGAGAATAAGAGACAATGACAGAGGGGAGAAAATGAGAGAGAAAGAGAGGTGGCTGATCAAGGGAATGCAGCTGCTGCTAGAAGTTGCAGTGGCTGCAATCATAGAATGGGAGATACAGGGAGCGTCAAAGGAGGAAGGGAAAAAAAAAGATGGAGAGAAAAAGAAAGAAAAAGGGAGAGAGAGAGAGAATGCGAGAGAGAAAGAAGAAAAGATAGCGCTGCTGGAGAACTCCCGAAAGCTGCCGGTGTTGTATATTCAAATTGGTGTTGTATACTCCGGTGGACGACGGGCCAGATCTCAGATATAGGTTCTCCTTTCAGATTTGAGATCTCCAACCTTTCTCACCGTCGCACTGCCATCCGGAAATTGCAGCGACAAGTTTCGCTGTCGAAGGCGACGGTGCTCATCAGATCCGGCGACGGTCACCGTTGCAAAACCACTCCTTAATTAATCGTTTCGTGAGAAACAGAGAGAATCATAGAGAATCAGACAAGTCGAGGGTCACCGCTGCAAAACTGCCGTCGCCAGTTGGTCACTGCAGTTCGCTGTAAATCGTCGAAGATAAAGTAAGGGCAAATTTTACATTTTGTTTCCTTCTGTTAACACTGAACGGCAACGATAATCGTTAGAAACCTTAAGTACCGCAAGACCGTATGTCATTGTCCTGAACAATAGGGTAGTTTAAAAAATTTACCCTTTTTAATTTAATGATAAAAATACTACGAACTCGCATGGCATTGAGGATCGTCTTTACGCCATGCTGCACACAACAGGCTCCATACCCGCATGGGTGTGGATTCACTTGTTACCAATGTGATTTACTCTATATAGAGGTGTTAATTGGACTCCATCTATTCCAATGTGAATTTACTTATAAATGGATTGTACCTAATCTAGTCTAAATCCAATCCAATTCATTAAAATGTAAATGGATTGGATTTAATCTAATCTAGATTAAATAAAATATCAAAAATTATATAAAAAACATGACATATAAAAAATTATAAAAATATATTAAAATGAAGAAAATCTGAAAATTACAAATATATACCTTTTTATCATTGAAAAAAGTGCTTTTGTAAAGTGTTTTTGTAAAAATGCTTTCATAAAAATGTTTTTGTAAAAGTGCTTTTATAAAAGTACTGTAGTTCTTTTGTAAAAATGATTTCATAAAAATACTTTCGTAAAAGTGCTTTTATTAAAGTGTTTTTATAAAATTGCTTCTACAAAAGTGCTTTCATAAAACTATTTTTTTTTTGTAAAAGTACTTTCGTAAAAGTACTTTCATAAAAGTGATTTTATACCGGCTTCAATTTTGATTGGTTTCAAATTGGACAAGCGTTTGGCCTCATAATGGGATTATTGGAAATTTGGTTTAGGTCCAATTCAGACCAATAAGAACATGGACCAATTTATTTTAGATTGGCCCAATCTAATAATTATAATGGACCATCCAAATCCAATTTAACAAGGTTTGGATCGGAATCCACAAGTACGCGCCTAAATCCACAAGTACGCACCTGACTTCAAAGTCGCTGATCCTTAGTTTTATGGCGAGCGCGTCATCGTGAGGTTGTGAACACCTCGCGCATCGTCTTCCGTGAAGAAGATCAGTTCTTCTGTCTTCGGCCTCTTTGGAGGGTTTTGTTCTTCTCGGGCTGCCTCGCGAACTGATGTCCGGGCTGCTGCTGAAGTACACCCTACTACCACCGGACCTCCCACTATCACATGGAAGGTTTCCCAAACTGGCCTCTCTTCCGGAGGCTGTCATTGCAACGCTTCGGCTAGTCTACTGCTGGATTCGGGGCATCCTTTCCGTGCTCCCCTTGCCGACCTACCTTATTGTTATTATTATTATTATGCTATACAAAATTTTTCAAGTATCCGCGACGGATGAGTCCCTCTATCTCATCCCAGAGATTATTACACTGTTCGGTACTATGACCATGATCTCTATGAAAACTACAATACATATTTTTATTTCTCTCGTTTGGATTCCCCTTCAGACGAGGTGGCCACTTTACGTATGGGGCGTCTTTGATTGTCATCAAGATCTCGGTTCGCCTCGTGTTTAACGGCATGTAATCTATCCGAACTGCTAAGGGAGCTCGGGACGACTGGCTTGGTTTTGCCTCCCGGGCCGGGTTTCTTCTGTCACCTGGGTTGGAGGGCTCACCTTCTCTTTTCCTTTTCTCGACCCCGCCTTCGGTCCTTTGGTTGATCTCTTCCTCTGTTCTCATGAACTTATCCACGAGTTTGAGGAATTCGGCCACGGTCGTAGGCTGGCTGGCTACCATGTGCCATTTAAGCTCCTTGTGCGTTACTCCTCTCTTGGCCGTCATGAGTTGTACCGCGGGGTCTAATCGCGGTATCTGCAAGCACGCTTCATTGAACTGCTTGATGTAGCCCCGGATGGATTCTTCTTCTCTTTGGACTACTCCAAAGATGCTTTCCTCAGTTCTGGGGCACCGCTTGCTGGTAACGAAGTGTGCTGTAAAGACCTGCACGAATTGGGTCCAGCTTCTTATTGACCCGGGGGCTAGGTTCCTGTACCAGGTGCGGGCCACCCCCCTGAAGGTGGCGGTGAAGGCCACGCACATGCATGATTCACTGGCCCTAGCGAGGTGCATTTGGGATTGGAAAGCATCGACGTGGTCGTTGGGGTCAAAAGGCCCATCATACTTGTCCAAAGGTGGGAGCTTGAAGTCTCTGGGCATGGGGACTGCTAGGAGTTCTGATGCGAGGGGGGAAGGAACTGAGAGAATCGGGGTAGCTTTTACCTCGTCCGAGCTCGTCTCTTTCATACCTCTGAGCTCGGGCAGGACACGAGTGGCAATTCGGCGACTTCGTCGGCGCCTTCGTTGTTGAGTGGGCATGGTACTGGTGCTGCTGGCCTTTGTGTTGCCAAGCTCAATGGGCCCGGAATGTTGGTAGTCTGCTCCTAGGGC